ATTTCCCAAACACAGACATCATATTGAAACACCATCGTGATTATGCATTGTAGCACTCTCTGTATATTCAAATTGGTACAGTAAGTACTTCAGTGTTTACACCCCGCGTTGGATAGAGTTAATATTCGAAGTGAATCAAGTGTTTATTGAGAAATTCTGTAAAAACCTTCAAAATGTCTCAACACATGGCTGCAAAATATCTCCGCGATTATTGGATGCGTGTGAGAGACAAGGAGGCTGGGAAACCTGCGAAACAGACGCGAATCGTTGCTGAACGCGTTCGATTGTGTCGAGCCAACAAGAAAGCGGTCAAAAGTAATCCTTATTTTAGGATTTATTCAATACCCGCTCAATTTTAAAAATTTGAATAATGAATTGTTCATTTTGGAGTTAAGTTTTTAAACCATTTATTTTGTTATTAATATACTAGTGAATGGAGCATCAAAAACAATCTCGTAGTTCTACGTCAACAATGCGGTCGTGCTTTGGACACAACCCTTAACTTTTTTAAATTATTTATTATGGAGATTTTTAGCCTTTGGCTAGTTCAGGGGAAACCTCTGAGAAGGGTATAAGTCGAAACGTAAACAATGACTTTGAACGTCGATTTCTCTTGAATGACCACACACCCACGGAATCTAACTACACCAGCTCAAAGAACAAACATTGCTCTGTCAGAAGATTTAGTTAGTTCGAGTGGGTGTGTTGTTATTCGTAAAAGAACCGACGATCCAAGTCATTGTTAACGTTTCGAGTTAGACCCTTCTGACATGTGTCCCCTGAGTTCATCTCCGTAAAAACAACACCAGATGGCGTATGACGGTTGTCGATTTATCAAAATAAAATAGATCGAAAAGTGAGCGCCATGCTGGATACAATATTTAATAATTTAACACATATGAAGACTCGTATGCAATATTTTAAGAGCAGTTCTTAAGTTTTTTTTTAGTTGTGGAAATTTCAAAAAGTGCAGGAACTTAGCACTGAGTACCTATAGTTTTGATAAATGTTTCATACTGAGTAGAAGTGAACCTCGCTCTCAGTTTTTTCATTGGCTATGTAGAAGCTCGTCTGATTTGTAACTTTTACTCAGTTGTGTATTTGTATGCTAAATGTCAAAAACTAAGTAACATCAATTTAGCAAAGTGAGTAGCCTTTGCTCTAATAATAAAATATGGAAATTTACTATGGAAGTGTTTTTCTTCTGAGATAATCTTCATTTCAGTCCAAATTTACGCAGGTCACGTTTTTATGAACTTCTGGTTGTGATCTTCAGAATCCGAAGCTCGATCTCAAGGAAAGTTCACTATGATAGGATTGTAAGTAAGTTTTATGAGAAAATTGGGAAAGAGCAATATTTTCAAACAGTATTTCATTTTCAGACAAAAATAATGCTGAGAAACTGATCCGTAAGTTGTGCCAGACAGTTTAGTGCATATCAAGATCTATAGATGAACAATGTGTTAATTCCCGGATCGAAAAACCACCTGAAGATGACACCATGCTAGCTGCAGTGGTTTTCAGTGAAATCGCTTAATGAGCAGATTTAAATATGTTGATCAGTGTTTATAAAATCTAATCTTTGAAATAATTCTGTTGTAATAAAGTAAATCGTTGTTATTTGGCTTCTATACAAAATTTCCTGTCAAAATGTCAAAACTGAGTAACTTTTGATCAGTTGAGTTTATATTGCGAAAACCGCAATTGAGTAAATGCTACTCAGATTTTGACAGATACGTACATTACTTAAAACTCAGTAAACATGGGGCTACTCACGTTAGGGTAGTTCAACTTTTAACGAAAGTGAGGGGAATTTTACTCGCTTTAAGCTTGGTTTAGTCAGGGCAAGTCAATTGATCAACTCAGTTGAATTCAATTGGCTTGAAAAGTTGAACCTGGTTCAACTTTTTTCAATTCAAGTGAGTTGATCAAGTCAATTGAATGGAATGGTTTACACGTTCAATTCGCGTTCAAGTCAGTTGAATTCAACTGAATTGATCAATTGACTTGCCCTGTCTAAACTCAGCTTTAGAGTAAATTCGGACGAGCGTGTATGCAATTCCACTCCACTGTGGAACATTTGCTTTTATGGATTGCTGATATAATTTATTTTCATTAACTGTTTGTCTTAAATCGGTTCATGAATGTTGAATTTTCAACTTATGGAATATGATGGAAAATCTGATATCTTCAACTATTATTTTCAGGGAATAATGACCACCCCAAAAGTTTGGATATTTTTTCCCTTCATATAACCATAATCTCTAATTTTAGGCAGTAAAGTTATGAGACCCGTCGACTCGTTTTTTCCTATATACCTATACTTTTATGTTTTGTTTACCAATTGACTCCTTTATGCTTTCGTTAAATTATATATAAAATAGACAATCCTAAACATTTCAGGGATTCATTAAACAATGTAATACGTCATGAGCTGGTTTCATCAGATGTTTGCCTTAATTTTCTTATGAATCTATGTAGCTTGGAAAAGGTTTACAAATAATAAAACAATGACCGTGGTTCATTGCTGCAAAATCCTGATTTATGAACTCATCCGGTGGGCACATCGTCCTCCGCGGATCAAAGCAAGCAATCCGTTCCATTTATCCCATCACAATCCAAGCCGTCGTCCGGCTTTCAAACAATCATATATTTTGCCAAGCGACGACGATCGTCGCCTACTACCTACTCCCGTCCTGTCCACATGGGAGTACTGACAAACGGTTTCGCAAGTCAAGTACAAAGTGAATCCCTCGTGTGAGTAAGTGCAGGCGGCGTCAAACAATGTACCGATTATTGTTTTATTTTTGATTCTTCTCCGCTATGTGAACTGCGTTGCGTCCGCTCGGCTTTGCAGTGCCGCACTTGTTTCGCATCCCGTGACTGTAGGAGAAGCTGCGCTGGTTTCCCAGTAGTTAGTTACAAATGGTGCCAATGGTACCGTAGTGGGTTGTGATACCGGTGTATGAGGGAAAATTCCCATTTTACACGGTTCGAAAGTTCATTAAATTAGCAAAATTTAATGTGGCACATGGAATCAGTTCAAAAATTACAATAGCTGAACGTTGTATACGTATTGTACTGGCACTACAAAGGAAATTTGTGTTCATTGTTTTCCCTTACTTCTTCATTTTCTTCATCTTTCCGCGATGTATAGAGAAAGAGAACATATTTAAAATGTCAAACAAACACTTGGTTCACAAGCAGCGCGCGGCAATCGCCAGAAGTAACAACAATAACAATAACAGCACTAATAATAACAAGTTTGAGTCGCGATCGCAAATTTGCCGACGGCTTCCCACCATGGCCTGCTACTGCTACCCATACGGTGATGCTGGAGCATGTGTGTTTACCCATCGTATGCGTGGGGTGTGAAGTAGGCGGCGGTGGCGGATGGCTTTCCGCCGCCGCCGCTGTTGTTGTCGTCTGAGATGACAGCAGAAATAAGACAAAAGAATGCAATGAGTGCGAAAGCGTTGTGCAAAAGGAAAGGCAACGATCGATGGGTAGGGGGAAAATATTTTTCGGGAAAAAGTTAAGTATAAATAAAACAGATGTTTGTTATTTGAATGTTGTATGTTTTGCATCTTCTGCTAGCTCCCTGCAATGTCTCCCGTGGCTGTCATCTTTGTGAATCGTACGGAATAGAAGACTCACATGCCGATACTCGTGACTGTTTTAGGTCAAAATGACAAATGCTTAATGGAATTTTGTCGCCAATGGTGTCACTTTTAGGTGAATGAACTCAGTATTGTTATGCATATTTTTTGCGGATTAAAATATTTTTAAAGAAGCAGCGGTGCAATGAATCACTACAGCGCGCCAGATGCGCTGTGATCTACGACATCCGCTTTTCACATTGTTCGAGTGCAATTGCATTTTCCCTTTAAGCCAGTTGAGGGAAAATGCGAACAACAAGCACCAAACCACAGCGAAACGAGCGAAACTGGAAACCAGAAGCGATCGCATTTTATGCAATTTGCTCCCCTGAGGGCGCAACGACGACGTGCGTTCGTTGACTGCTAAAGCCGCAGTAGCAGTAGGCTATTGCGAAAGCCTCATTCACGCATTCTCTCAGCGTGGAGCTTCTCAAGCTCAAGTAGGCGAAGAGAAAACATAGTAGCCGAGCGATTGTCGCAACATAATCAGGAGAGCTGACCAAGAGGCAAAAGTCGGAGAAAGAGAGAAAGGCTGGGCAGCATAATCTCTTCCTAGCGACCGAAGGCGTTCCCGAGTTCATTCAGTTTTCATTGATGTTGTTATTTTTACGATGCTTCGTGCAGTTAAAATCCCTGCAAAGTGCAATTTCTTCCTCGCTGTGTTGCATAGCAGCACTTCTCCTCGTGGCCTACTACAACCGGTACAGTTATTTGCACCGTTTGGCTGGATTCACACTAGGCTGTGCGTGGTCTGTCGCACTGCGAGACTCATGGCTGTATGCGTGTTATGAAATATTTTGTTTTATTCCTTTTTCATCTTATTTTGGGTAATTGCTGTGCGGCGGTACGAATGATTTTCCAAGTGCGAAATGAAGGAAAGTGGTTAAATTTAGCAAACGACTGTTGAATGAAATGTTCATGTTTGGTGTTGATCCCTCCGCGGTTGGTGACTTATGAATGAAATTAAGTGGCTTAACAGCTACAGCGCAGTTCGTTGGTTTGGGGTTTTTGAAGTCGGTGGAGTAGTTCTTGTATATACGAAACGCGATGGCGAGCAATTCGGAGGAGCGTGCATTATGCTAAAGAAAGCGAAAGGAAGACGAATATGTGACTATTTTCGACCACAAGTAACTGGAGACGCATGGTTTCCTGTGATGATGGGAATGAAATGGCACATTTTGATATTTATGGATGTCACTTTGATTGAATAATTGTAGTGTACATATTTAATTGTTAATTTTTAGTGCAAATTATTATATTTCACGTCAGATTATAAGTCTCATTTGAATTGATTTACTTAAATTGTGTTTTTCATTTACTCTTTCTCTTAATTTCTTTCAGATCTCTACTAGCACGAGGAACACTAGATCGGAAATAAATCCCGACGGAAGAAAATGAACTGATGTCATTCGATTAGGAAAACCAACCCGTTATCAACCAACGATGGACTTCCTGAAGGCAGTCCAGAACGGTCACTTCGAAGCGGTCCGCGCTGCTCTGGCAAAGGTTGACATCGACTATCAGGATGAGAAGATGGCCAACAGTGCCCTGCACGTGGCTGTCACGGCCAAGCGAAACCGCACCAAGCTGATCGAGCTGCTCATCAGCGCTGGCGGTGCGGATTGTGATCTGAAGAATCGCGATGGGTTGACCGCATCCGAGTTGGCACTAGAGGTCGGATGCCGCAGTGTGGCGGAATTCATGGTCCGGAAGGAGTTTGAAGGGGTGATGGATGATCGAGCGGTTTATAGACTGGTGCGGAGAGGGACTGTAGAACTGCTGAAGATCTATCTCGAAAAGAGAGCGTTCGATATCCACACGAAGATGAAACTGATTCTGCGGGTGGTGGAGGAGCTAGGCGTGAAGGGAGTGACGATGGGAGAGAAGATGAAGGTGTTTCTGGAATATCAGCTGGTGGAGTACAGCTATCGGTACGGGGCAAGAAAGGGAAAGGAGAAGGAGAGCGGTGGTGATCAAGAGGCTGAGAAGCGAGTGGAGTTGATGCTGAGCTATACCAAATATTTGAAGGAGAACTACAGCGGAGATGATTTGAACGATCTCGATGACAGGTTCGTTCTGAGGCTGAGAATGATTTGTGAGTGTTGCTACTTTCTGGAGGACATCGAGCGGAGACGGGAGCGAAAACTATACAAGCACGTACCCCTTTCGGAGATTACCTACTTGATTGGGGTATTTTTAGCAATCTTGGAGAAGCACGTCGGGTTCGAAATTTATAAGCTTGTTATTAATAAAAATATGATTATGTCGTATTTGGAGGCAGTGTGCGAGGAGTTGCGGGTGACAACGCTGGGAGACAGAAGACGGCAAAACTATCAATTTCCATGGACGTCACAGCTGTTCCTGGATCTCATTGCGTGCATCCGGGAGGAGCGCCTACTACGATACGTGTCACAGCGAAAACGACTCAATGGATCATTGGAACGGATTGCTGCGATGCGGGATGCTGCTAGTGAACTATGTCAGGTTGATCAACAGTTGGTAATGGATGAAATTCGGCGTAAAGAATTCCAAGCACTAGGAGAGGGCGTGCTAGACGATGGCAAATGGTGTGTGGCGGAATTTGTTAGCTATCTCAGATGCGAGCGAAAAACAATCGTGGCACTTTGGCATCAGCGACATCCGAAGCTCCGCCTCCAGAAGCGACAGGTGCAGTTTGTGGTCAGCCGAAAAGAGTTGAGCAAACTCAAATCTCGCACCGTCCATGAGTTGAGTAAAAATAAAATGAAACTGGTCGAGAAGGAAGTGAGCTCGCGTGAATTTCAATCTCTCAGTCGAACCGTAAGCCGACGGAATCGAATCATCTTTCGGCGAATACAAACAACCTTCAATCAAATAAAACAAATGTACACAGTCAAAAAGATCGCCTATTATGTCGAGAACGCCATCGTGATTGATATGGACGATTTGGCGAATGAGTCGCTTTGCATTCTTGCGATTAAGCGAGTTCTCCATCTGATAAGTGAATCGATAAGCAGTTGCCATCAACATCCAGCTTTCGTGAGAATGCTGGATAATATCCTGGATCACGTTCTTACTTCGGTAGAAGCTTCCCACAAGAACAAAGACATCCGAGATTTCTTCTCCCAAAAATACTCCCTCGCCAAGTACTTCATCAACAAATCCTTGGACATGGGTCACTACAAGCTGATGCAGGATAGTCTCCGTTCGGTGTACCGATTCTTCCTGTACGTCATCAACATTCAACTGATCGAGGCTTACAAAACCTTCCTCGGGACGGCTTACTGTCTAACCAACCTCACCCAAGTCAAATCCTACGCCAAGTACATTGGCGATCACAATCTTCACACTCTCAGTCACATCAAGTTCGATCACGTATTCTACAACGAAGACGAAACCGCCGGCATCATCTACGAACTGAAAAAGATGTACATCGGCATGTCCAACGAACTGAAACTCCTATCCTTCATCGAGAAGAACATTCATTTCCGCTTTTACCATATGCAGTACCACCAGACCCGTCTCCGAGTAACACTGAGTAATTTTGCCGTAGTGTACCGGGCACTACGGGCAAACCCTTGCTTCGACAGCGCACGGAAACTGCTCCATTCCTATCTGCATCAGAGCTACCAGAAGTATGACATTTCCAAGTCGATTTCCATTTCGGACTCCACCCTGGCACTGAAGGAACTGCTCCGGCCGTACAGCAGCATCGGTGAGAACGAGGAAACGCTGATGGTTGTGAAGCATCTGGAACAGCTTCAGGAGCTGATGGATCCGGATCGGCTGTTCGGAATCAATCCAGTTCGGAGGAGACATCGAGCGACGGAAACGGGTGGGAAGTATCATCAATTTACAAGGAAGATCGTGAAGGAAATGGGACTACAATTGAACGACGAAGACTTTGAGCAACTGCACGAGAAGTTGAAGAGGACGTACTATGAGAACATATTCCTGCTGCAAAATCGGTACAAGGTGATGCAGGAGTTCTTCCGTCAACGTGGTATTCAGGTGGATGCAAAGATGCTGGCAGGCTACCGGGAGCGGGATGAAGAGATGCTGCAGGAGTTGTTTGATGCGAAGGTTAATGATATGATTGCGGTTCTGGAGAAGTTTGAATGCTACAGTGTGGATGGATTGCTGGAGTCGGTTGGTGAGCTTCCGACTTTTGTACAGATAGCATTGGAGTATAGTCTGTTGGAACTGTTGGAGATATTGGTGTCGGTGAATGGATTGGGTGGCGGAGTCGGGATAATGCGAGGGAGTGCACCAGTGTTGAGTGGAAGGAGTTTGAGGAGCTACCTGATGGAGGATTCCTTGGTGATGGATCTGTTGGTCTTCAATTCGAATGCGACTGTGTTCTTAAATGCGTTGGTATTTAAGGATTTTGGATTTCGACTATATGGAGGAGGAGTGCAGGTACAGGAAGCTCCCATGGAGGTGGTTACATTTGAGGACAGATTCAAGGAACGTTGGAAGTGGTTCGAGATGCAGGAAATTTTGTACGAGTCGGTTCGGCAGGGCGATTTGAGGCTACTGAAGGAGAATGTGAGTAACGGTTCGGATATGCGTGGAAAGCGATTTGGTCCACTGGTGCTGAACGAGCTGTGCCATTATAGTCTGATAGACTGTGCCATCGCAAACAGCTTCAAGGATATGATCGATATGCTCAATCGAGACTACGATGATATAAGCGAAAGCAGGAAGCAACTTCTTGAGTACTTGCTAAGACGAACGGTAAAGTCTCACTTCCTTGTCGGACAATACTGCAAGCTAACACCGGAAGATCGCAAGATGTTAGTGCTGTATTTGTCCATGTTCTTGGGAGACGTACACGTGTTTCTCAAGAATCTGGAGCGATACGATGCCCATGAAGATTTGCATCTGTTTGTAAACTCTGAAAATCAAGATTTCGTCAGCAAGGTCATTCGACATCTTAAGGAATTCGATTTTAACAAATGCGATACGTCCGGGATGACCATTTTACACAAGGTCGTGAATTGCGGTAACTTGAAGGCGGTAGAGGCGCTGACCCAAATTGGTGAAGTAGATCTGGACGCTGTGAGTGGTCTGCGATACTCGGCACTGAACTTGGCAAGCAGGTTGAACTTGCTGGACATTGTTAAGGTTCTCACCAAGTCTGGGGCAGATGTCAACATGATGAGCGAAGATGAAAAACTTCCAGTGTTCTGGTTGATACAGTATCAAAGCGCACAGGAAGTTGTTGGCTTGGGGATCGATTCCAGTACGGAATTGACGTCGTTTTCCAGCGAGCTATGCTTGTTACACAAAGCGATCGAGTTCGATAATTTGAACGTTGTTCGCTACTTGGTGGAAGAGCAGAAGGTTGATCCAAGTCGAATATACTCGAATTGCAATAACGTTATCCACGCAGCTGCCAGCTACAATCGAGGTAGAATACTGAACTATCTGCTAACGATTCCGGGCATGCTCAAACTCGTGAACAATACAAACCTTGTGAAGAATACTCCACTAAACATAGCCTGCAAAGAGGGCTATCTTTCAATTGTCAAAACACTTCTCAAGCACGGGGTCTGCACAGACACCTGCGGAGAATATGGATTGAATGCCCTAGCATTCGCCATGTACACAAACAGCTTCAAACTGATGAAACTCCTCTTCAAACATGGTGCCAAAATCAGCTATCCTCTAAGCTCGGACTTTCAGCCAATCAACATGGCTATTCTGAACCGAAACATCCCGATGCTGAACTTCTTGCTGAAAAATGGCGTCGACGTCAGTTGTGCCCCCTTGTGCTTCATCAACGCCGTTTACGCCCAATCGAAGGAGGTCGTGCGTATTCTAGTAGGCGCTGGATCCAAACATATTAATCATAAGGATGAATTCTGCCAAACGGCACTGCATCTGTGCGCGGATCGTGACGAATATGAAATCGCTCGTGAATTGATACGGCACGGGGCGGACATCAATGCAAAAAACCGCTCCGGAACAACTCCGCTGCATCTAGCGGTGACCAAAGGGAACGTGCGATTCGTCCGAATGCTGCTGGACAACAAGTGCTCGGTGGACGAGCTTAACTATCATGGCGAAACGTCACTGATCAAGTCGGTCGTGTGCAATAATTTAGATATAGTAAAAACCTTGCTCAACAACGGTGCCAGCGTGGAACGGTTGCGAAACAGTGAACCTCCGGTCTTGCTCTATCTGGTGCAGGAGAATTACGAGGATATTCTGGATCACTTGCTTGAACATTATCAGTTCAATGCGGACGAACAGGACGCCTATGGAAACTCGCTGCTGTATGTTGCTACGCAACGCAATCATATCAACATTGTGAAGCTGCTCGTTGACAAGTACCACGTGAAGACTAATCCTATCAACAACAAGAAACTGACACCCCTGATGATCGCCCGAGTTAAGGAGTACAAGGAGATCTTTAGCTTCCTGGAGTCTCGCGTAGCTGAAGAATAGTAGGCCAATTGTTTTTTTTTTTAGTTTGACATATGATATAACCTAATTGTTTAGCACTATTTATTTGAGAATTTGTTTATTTTTTTTAGTGTCACGCCAAGTATTTATTATAGATAAAAGGACAAGAAATCAATTTAATGTGCCATATCTGTAAGAGATTCGGTTTTGTTTTTGTTTTGTTTTATATTTTCCCGTCTGAAAGGAGTGTAGGAAAATGTCGTCGATATTTGTGAATGAATCATCCTAGATGATGAATGCTCTGTTAGCCTGTAAGATACTCTGTGAAGCCTAGTTGTGATTTGGTATAACTTTAATTTCAAAATAAAATGAAAAACTGTAAATTACCCCGTGTACGGAGAAAACAATACTCACCTTAGGCGTGTTAGGACAAGTTAGAAACTGTAAATAGTCGGATAAATAAAAAATGGTTAGGTTATCGATGTTTTGAAAACAGAAAACGGAATGAACAAAACAAACGGAATCGATTTGTCTTAGACATTCCAGCAAACAGTTCAAAATAGTACTTGACCCATTGAAATATCAAATCTAATGACGTGTGAAGGCAAATCGATTCGATAAAAATAGCCTCCAGACACTGGAGGTATCTTTCTGGGCAAAAACGCCAAGATTTCACCGATTTTTTTTTGTTCATAGTAGTAAACAATCCCCCCGTGACAAGCAATGCAATGTAATGGTGAAGGAACACGTGCCAATTTGTTTTAAGCTGCTACCCAGATTATTTTATCAGCAATCTGTTCAGCGTGGTGCTTAGTTTTAAGTTAGTTGATTTCTGTATTTTTAAACGACCACCAGCCAAACACAGATGCAATTCATTCAACTGTGCCGTATCAATTTCTATTCTCACAACAACAAACAACCCAAGAAGCCAACCGTGTGCTATCGATACAAATAGGTTTAAAATTAGTTCAGTAAAGCAGTTCAAATCTTATGTACCTTTTTCATTAACATTTAATAACAGCATCAACAGAATAAGAAGATAGAATCAAAACTGCACTGTATGAAAGTCCATACCACAACATAAGTAGTAAAAGTAATGAAAATAGTGGATGTGTTTTTCTAAGCAATTTTAAACCAATTGGATGGATTTTCGGCATAACTTGAAACTGTTTGTAAAAGCAAACCAAATAAAATGGAAAAAACTTGCACAAAATTGAGGCATAACTTAAATTAATTAAAAAAAAAAGCAGATAAGCTGCAGAACATAAAAACACGTACTTTGTCATGTAAATGGTACAAATAAAATGTATTTTTTGCGCATTATAATACAGTTGTTTTAATATGGTTTTGGTTTTTGATTCACTGATCGGTTTTTTTGAACAATATACAGGTGTACCTCAATATAACGTTACTGTCACTTTTGTCTTCTATCGTTGAATAGAATCGTGTGGCCGGGAGCGGTATTATGGAACAAATTTGCTAGCAACAATCCTTAATGTGGCATTTGAAAGGAACTTTAGTCCGGAAGTTAGAAGATGTTACATCTACTTCAGATTCAGCAATCCATTCCAGAATGCCTGGTAATTCACGTCCATTCCGAAGTCCCTTTCACATACAAATAGCCCGTATACAAACACTGCCGTTATTATATGGATAATGGTATTGCAAACCCAGTTCCAGATTTCGAAACAAGAAATCCAGCACGTATTTGGAAAAGCCATTTATAATAGATTTATATATAGATAGATCTCAACAAATTCCACCTCCAAAATAGCACCGGTTTGTTCACTCGCGGTAATCTATAAAATCCTTTCAGTTTTTTTTTAAACCTAACACAACATCTTTATTCACATCACCAAGAAACGAAAAAAAAAAAAAAAACGATAAACCTTGACCGAAACACAACCCGACTAATGCGACGCCGAGGCTACTCGATCCAAAGTCTTGTCTAGGAATTTTCGCAATAAATACAATATTAATTAAATAGAACTCCATTTCCACTTTTGCACACGCAATAACGATGGTAGTTTTGGTTTGGTACTAGTTGAAAATTATGTGGAAAACACACTGATTTACGACGAAAACAAAACCAAACGTTCGTGAACAGAGCCTACTCAGTTACGTCATATTGAGGTAAACATGTCTATACATTTCCTTACAATGGTTCTGGATTCACAAATTTACATGGCGAATGCTAGGGCATTCAATTCGTATTCCCCGCAGGTGTCTGTGCAGACCCCGTGCTTGAGAAGTGTTTTGACAATTGAAAGATAGCCCTCCTTGCAGGCTATGTTTAGTGGAGTATTCTTAACCAGGTTTGTATAGTTCACGAGTTTAAGCATACCCGGAATCGTTAGCAGATAGTTCAGTATTCTACCTCGATTGTAGCTGGCAGCTGCGTGGATAACGTTATTGCAATTCGAGTATATTCGACTTGGATCAACCTTCTGCTCTTCCACCAAGTACCGCCTTCAAGCTACCGCAATTCACGACCTTGTGTAGAATGGTCATCTCGAACGTATCGCATTTGTTAAAATCGAATTCCTTAAGGTGTCGAATGACTTTGCTGACGAAATCTTGATTTTCAGAGTTTACAAACCGATGCAAATCTTCATGGGCGAGTAGATCAAATTAAGTTAGAAGTTTTTATTAGTTTGATTCTTACCAACCATATTTACATATAGTAATTTCCATATAAACTTCAAATGGTTTGTGCCTAGTCAGTTTCTTACCTAATGTGTTCAAATATTGAGCAACGCCGACTGGGATTGAAACAAGGCCCTATGGAGGGAATTTAATTTGGCACTCAGTCCTAACATATATTTTATCTCCAAAAAATATTTGCTCCTAATTAGCAGAAAGATAACAAAAATCTATTCAATTGTTATAAGAACTTGAAAGTTCCGGTACCATAATTGAAGAGCATTCTAAGCAGCTTCTGGCGAGACTTGAACGGAAATTTTAGAAAATAAATTAAAAAAGGTTTTTGTCCTCTACACCGCAATTCTATATTAAGTTCGCACTTTTATGAAAGTTATTTCTTAAGGCAGGTATTAATGTGTATTGATTTAACAACAGCATTAGTAAGTAGAGAATTAGAGCTGTTTGAAGAATTAAACCCAGTCCTTCTCCGTGAGTGCCCCAGCACAAATTTTTACGTCATCTGAGATATATTAAGGTGAGCTGTTTTCCCGCCTACTGTTGGAGTTTTCAGTGCCAGCTGACTGACTTGTTGAATACGAAAGACAACACCTTGATGAATTTCAAATTGGTGTTTGCCGGCATGGGGTTCTAACACTTCTCACACTGCATAACTATAAGAATTATGATTTATTCGGGCCACTGATCATTTCATACTTACGTACATTAAATTTTGTTACTAATAAAGACTTGTGCGGATTGCTTCATGTGGCTTGAAAGTTCTGTCGGAACTTTATTTGAACTTTATGGAACTTGGAAGTGATTTTAATCCTTGAATGCGGAACTTTTGGTTACTTGGATAATGCCCCGCCCTATACTACCGAAGTATATTCTTGTCAGCTAGGGTCAGCCAAAAATACTAATTACGCCTATGTCTAGCATAAATAAGTCTGGTGCTAGGGGCATCCCACTCTAAACTTTGTATTTCTCGCATTATACTCAGAAAGTTCTTACTGATATCTAAGATACCTGCAAATACTTAAAAAATACTTAAGAAATATTTAGCGCTAGTTTGTTACCTCCGTTGCTAGACAGATTTCATTCGATTATTTACCCGGTGTCTTCCGAGAATTTGTGTGTGCGTATTTAGAAAAATCAAGTATTATTTTTTAATTTATTCCTTTTTTGTAGGAATCGAGGAGGAGACCATTTTGATTCAAGGAATATTACATTGCCAAACCGATTCACATGTGATTCAAAGCAAGAATAACGAACTATTTGGAAAGTTACTGTGGAAGAAACTGCGTGTGGAATCAAATTCCCTAAGCAAATGTTTCTATCCCAAAACCATGTCTCCATAAAGATGGATTTTTCGTTCATTAGGTTCTTGACCGTTGGACGATAACTTCAGACCTTTACGCTGATTGAAGCTGAATAAGATGTTTCGAAAGCTTTCTGCACCATCCGCAAAGCCACATCTCCTATAGATTGCCGCTGAATAAGAAGAGAATCACATTTCCTCGGATTTGGAACCTTCGATGCTCTCCTGCTTAAGGCTTATTAGGGTAGATAGCTACTTCGGCCTATTCACCCATTTTGGGCCTATTTAGCAGAAAACATCAAATCAAACCATGATTACGGCGTTAACAAGTCAATTATGCGTTTGGTACGATACTTCTGTTCCAAATCTACCGAACGAAGTCAATAAGAAAGTGTGATATGAATGTTTGCACCCATTATTTTCAAAAAACAAAAGAGTAAACTCAATTGCGCTTGAATGGCGTTTCACTGCGTTAGGCCGAGTTTAGAATCCGAAGGCTGAGTTTGGCGTCAAGAAGCAGTGTTAGGTTTTTAACAATATCTCCACAATTTGTTTCTCTTTATCAAATCTTACGATACGTACGGAAAGTTCAATAAATTTGGAAAGCATCTGCAGTGAGAATATTCCATTTTGTGAAAAACTTCATTCTTAAAATAGAGGTAAAGGGCGGGTTGTGCTTACTAGGCCCAAAATAAGATCTAAGCCATAATAACGCTGGACATGGTCAAACCAACATATTCGCTCCGTGTTAATCTCAGATCCATTCACTAATTAATCATATTGTCGAGCAGTTTTGGGACGACCTTCTACCAGCGATTTTACAGAAATGAAACAATCAATTCCAGCTTTTTCAAGCATTTTACAAATAAGACCCTATTTTTTCGAGGTTGTAGAAGAAAAGATATTAAAATATTGTTCCACGTTAAAGTTCGAGTGGTAGGAAACGTCATTTTAAACTGCTCGAATGATGTGATCCATTGATTCTATCATTCATCAGAAACGGCTATGTGTTAAAACTTCAATTTGGACTGTTTGGGGAATGTTTTGAAATAAATTCATACATTTTAACTTAGAATTATTTTACATGAAATTGGTACACATAAGTAACTTGTTGGAACTAAATCGTTTTATTTGGTATATCAATGGTTTGTTATAAATTATAATTTCAGAACATATTAATATTTTTGTTATCCTTACTTACTGGTAAAAGTGAGAAATTCATGTTGATTTCACATAAAGCCTTCGGTTGCTATCAGGATACTCACTCAACTCCCTCACCAGTCCGTCATAACTCATCTTTACCGATGTAAATTTATCAAAACGCGGTACTATACGACCACCAGTGGCAATTGCAATTAGTTCAACTTCGAGCCCACCAGCACAACGAATTGCTGGTAGTTATGCTTCATTGGCCTCTGGCAAATAACCAGTGTAGTCCTAGCATCCTTGGCCGGCTTGAAGTAAAAAATTTCATAATCATGAACCTTGCTGATAGTTCTTAGCCGAATTGACATTCAACATACGCTTTTATTTTGGCAGTTCAGTTTGAAATCTAGTTACACTACCGATCATAAGATTAAGGACACCCCAAAAAAACCATGCAAATATGTTTTGTTCAATGATCTCTCATTTTACGTTCAATATTCGATCTCCAAAGGTTTGATGGTATGAATGGTATAGCATAAGTGTTCTACTACTACTTTTATTCCAAAATTTGGCCAACCCAATTCTGAGAAAATTAGTCACGATTCTTCAGAGTAAATTTTGAAAAATATTGTAACTTTGGGTGAACTTTTAGCACACAAAATTTGAAAATTATATTAAACCATTTGCCTACGAGGAAAGTTCCTTTCAAATGATCTAAAGAGAATGAAAATCGGACGTAACATGACAGAGATATGAACATAACAAATTTGTCATGCTTTTTTGGGGGTGTCCTTAAACTTATGATCGGGAGTGTACGAGTTCGAACGACAACGGCACCATTAACCTCCAGCTAAGCAATATAATTCAAAAGTTTGATATCGTACTAAACAGCCAGTTCGAAATCATAAATAATTCGCTATCCCTGCTCTAACTGGTTCGCTGAAAGTAAAATGTTTTAGATGAACAATTTCATAACTAGAATTGAAATATTGTGTGTGGCAGGATAATTTCTCAAAATGGGATTATAACTGTTCTCTGTTTATAGCCGTACGACTGCGCCCATTGATTTAACATACAGCGGCTCTTAATCCAGGATTTGCTCCTCAAGCCGCTGCCATAAAATACTATCTAAGTTACACACCTGTGTAGAATCCTTATGGGCGGGGTTGCATCGCGCTTATGAATGGCGCGCTTCGACCGTCA